CCAGGAGGAGCAAACTAAGTGTGCACTTAGCTAATTTGACAAAAGCAAATCTAATTCCTTAAAACAGTTGTGACAAATTACTGAATTCAACTTCGTATTATTCCATACTAAAAATGATCTTCATACACCAAATATGGTTCAAATACTTGATATAAGCCAGCTGTGTACAGTCCCTTGAAAACAAAGCTATGTTTATTTTTTCCAGACAACTATATACTTCGGAAAGTGGTCATGTCCTTCGGTTCACTGCTTGGCACACACCAGTCATCTGCTTCATGGTTTGCCTTATAATGTTTCCAAGCTGATTTATTATACACAGGGAGCCTTTCAATTGATTCCGTTGACAAAGCCTATAAACAGAGGAGAATACAGAGCTCAGAATAATTTCCAGAGCTAATATTAGGCATTCTAGTTTAATTAGTGAAACAATGATGCCATTTGGTTGCCACAAAAAGGTATGGCAAAGAAATTTACTACAATTAAATAGGTAAAGTGGTAAACTCTACCTTTATGTAGATAACTGCATCTGTACCGTAACCTTCAAAGGAATACAGCTTCAGATCTCCTTGGAAGTACTGTGCATACAGACGTGATATGGGCAAACCATAACCAAACCCAGCCTGATACGAGACAGACAAATTTAAGTGTGCTGTAACCATATCATCATCACCACACTTTATTTTGTTGAGCTGTTAGGGTAATAGGCAATAACTGCACTTTCTAAATTTGGGGAAGGGAGGAGAACAGCAGTCAGACTGAAACATGTTGCTTGATGCATGTTGGCATGTGAGAAAAATAAATCACTCTTAGGGGATCAGTAAAGTGAGGAATCCAAATCTGAAGCAATAGTTTTCTCCCATACATCCAGAAGTTTTCCTCCTGTCATACTCATCCACCAAAAAAAGCACCTTTTTAGGAAAGGGATGTAGATGTTTGAGACTAGGAGCAGTGAAACCATTCTTACTTCTTTGGCAACTGGCAATACTGTATTTCTTGCATACCGCAATACAGCATACGCCTGCACTGTGTAATATGCACCTTGTTTTTGAAAGGCAGCATAAAGAAAATAAAATCTTTTCTAGTAGTAACTGAGTAGCAGCAAGTACAGGGCTGAGCCTGCTGCCAGCCCCATATCAGATGCGGCCCACAGACTAACCCTGCACACCAGGTCCAGCCATGGACTGACCCTGTGCACCAGCATGCAGGGTCATGTTATCTGTCCAAGCAACTCCCCACAGGTCCAGAAATTTGGTGACAGGAGCGACAACAGCATTAATTGCTGCATCTCCTGGAGCCACCTCCTGGTCTCCCAGAGCCACAATTACTGCTACCACCACTGCTCTGCTGCCATATTTCTGGATCTATAGGGATAAATATTTCTGGCATATAATGTGCACCCCAATTTCTACCAGCTGGTTCTAATGAAAAGGTGTGAACTTTTCAAATTACTTGCAGTTAACCAAGAAAAAGAAAACAGTACCACAAGGAACATTCTGCTTCACATCAAGCAGCCTGCAGATACCCCTTTGAGAACTGATCTGCAGCATGGCTGTATATCCCTATCAAATAGTAGATTCCTCCTCTACACCTGTACCTTGGGATGCCACTAATCTGAAATACGGGACTTAACCAACAGATGTTTTATGATCATCTGTAACAGATGAGATCACCAGAGGCAATCTCATTAAATTTCATAGTTAATTGAATCCAAGATTTCCCCCCCTCTCCATTTGACACGAGTGAAAAAGCCAATCTGGGACTCAAGTACATGGGGCAAGCTAACACTCCCCCCTCCCTTCTCACCACTGTTTACTCTCAAATCAGGGCTCTGGCCCCAGACAGCATGCTGGTTTCAGGCTCCACCTGGTCATGTATCAGCAGCAGCAGCTCCAACCTGATCCTGGGGCCAAAGCTGCAGCTGCTGCCACTGAAACCACTGCTGCATGGCTGAGCAGGAGCACTCAGGGGTGGGCAAACTGCGGCCCACCAAGCTATTTTATCCAGCCTGCGGGGCCCCTAAAAAAATTAGAAAATTAATATTAATCTGCCCTGGGCTGCCTATCATGCAGCCCTCAATAGCTTGCCAAAACTCAGTAAACGGCCCTCCACTCAAAATAATTGCCCGCCCCTTAGCCAACGTGTTCTATGTCCCAGGTTGCACCAGGATCAGAGTCCTGCCTGAAGATAAACAGTGATGCGGGGAAGGGGGCAGGAAGGGAAAGATGCAGGGGGTCACAGGCAACAAGGGGGTGAGGGTTTGGCTGCTTGACTCCCTCACTGTCTCCCCCCCTACCGCTGCTTTGCCTGCCTTAGTGATGAGGGTTGAATTTAAGAAGACCCTTCCAATAATAAGATTCTATTAAGGAAAAATTATTACAAATTTATAAATTTTCCACGCATAGAATCTAATTATGATGGGGTTCATCTTAAAAACACTACCATAACGTACACACTTTCTTTCTTCTTCAGGACATTATTTATTTCAAACAAAATGACAAAAGTACACTTGAAGGCAGGAGACTTTAAAACACAGAAACATTCCTAAATTAATTTTGTAATCTACCCAGTGGTCAGAATCAAAAGATCAGAGTGCTATACTTCCAAAACAGATGGTAAACAAATCTTACGGTGGTACAAGGAACATAGCTCCATCTTCTGCTCTGCATGTCTAATTTCTTCAAATTTGGAAAAACAAAAAAGTTCAAACTCGTGTTTTAGTAAATATTAGGCATAAATGGCGCCTTTCCTATTTCGTATTATTATATATTCTGTTGCTGCTTTTAAGATTTTTACATAATTTTCCTGTTTGTTCTCAGAAGAACATTTCAATTAATCTTTAACAGTAGAGGTGTCAGATTATCAAGCATATAATCTGATAATAAGCATAAAATATACACAAACACACATACAGACCAGAGGTGTTGCTCTTGATGTCTCAACACGAGGATGCGGTGCAGTTGAATACATGTAGTTGAACAGTCTGTCAATCTTCCTCACAGGAACGCCACCACCACGATCACTCATCTAGAGCATAAGTAAACATGGTTAGCATTGTTCCTGCGCACACTCACACACAATGTAACCTGATTTTCACAAAGAATAGAGTTGAAAAGAAGTCTACAGACAAATCTGATGTTTTATTCTGCAGCCATCCTTCCTTCCCTTGAATCATGAATTTTGTCATTTCACTCGGACTGCCTTCCATCTTCATTTTTCAACCATTCTTCCCAATTAGTAAGCAGCAAATCAAAAAAGTTTCCCCCAACTGATTTCTTCATCTGCACCAATCAGAAGTTGCTGCTGCCTCTGTGCAGCAGCTGTGCTAGGTACCCAGCCATGTTCTGCCATCGATCACGTGCTATTTCTCCCTTTTACTTTAACTCAGAGATCTTCAGTAAGCCTACGTCCCACTTCATTCTATATCTCACAAAAAGTTTATTTGCATCTCTCGAAACAAATATTTAGATATCACCTCTAGAAAAAGATGGTTCATTGACTTGCAGTCTACTAGGAATTTTAACTATTGATACAAATTGGAACATGCATTTTTATTACACCAGGTAAATTCCAGGGGATGGAGTCTACATCTCCATCCCCTGCCCCACACACGGAGGGGCTGGGAGCAGCAGGTCAGGAGTGAGGGGCACTGGGTCAGGACTGGCCAGTGTTTACAAATGGGTCCCGATACAAAAAAGGTTGAGAATCGCTGGCATAGGGTAACCTCCCATTGTCACTGCTTCTCCCCACCGAGGCATAGGGAAAGCTTCTACTACCAAAGCTCCAGCTCCCTAGGCGAGATCCAATGGCTCCACAGGCCATAGGTTGCTGAGCACTGATGTACACCCTAACCACAAAACAAAAGATAAAGTAACATCACATTCATTATCTCCCTCTTTCACACAAGAATTATCACATTCACCTTATCTCTCTTTCACAAAATCCTTGATATTCTCACTCATTGCTGACCTGAAACCCTAATCTGAGCCTTCCTCCCCCGCAGGTCAGAAAATAACTATTTTCCCTCAAAAATGGTTACCTTCACAGTTAAATCTTCATTTCCCAGTGTAACATGTACGTGAACTGGAGGATAAATACATCGATCAACATTGTGCTCCATCGTGGCTCTCATTGCATTCTGAGAAATATTTTAAGTTGAGCGTAAGTAGTTTTTACTTTAACTTTGATAGTAAATGGATCTACAGTTAGGAATAGTTTCATTAGAATGCATTTGTAGGTTGGTAGTTTCCAAAAACAGGAAGCACCTAGTACTTGTTTAAACTATCACTGTTTACGTAGTTCATTCATACAGCAGACTTTTGAAACAAGTATTTTAAAAGGCTTTAGAATGCTTAACATTATACAAATGGTGAAAGTTTACTCAAGCAATCTAAAGGTTTCCTTTTTAAACTTTGAAATTATGCAAAGCTCCAAACAACTCAGTATGATGCAGACTGCTCAAGAAAACTCCAGGATTGGAAAAACTCCTTAGTTCATGTAGCAGCTGCCACTAGGGCTGTGTGACAGCACCATTCCACTTCTACTTCCACTGCAATGGAACAGTGTTTCTTTTCAAGTTCCATTTTGAAAGTTCCCTTTTGTTTTGTCAAAACTGTTTCACTGTTTCAATGTTTCACCCATAGGCTATAATGGGGAATCATGAAAATGCCTAAAGCTTTGTCATTTCTTGCCTGATTCAGATGAAACTTGCACGGATGGTAGCCCTTTCTGAGGGCACAAAGCCTACCATGTTTCAAAGAAATAGGTAGAGGTTTCTGGGAAACTGCACCTCAAGGTGTTAACAAGGAAAACTCCTGTCACTTGCTGGTAGTGGCAGCCTCCTGTCATCCAGCAGGCAGATCAAGGGTCTGCCCACACCCCTAGGAGGACTACGGCGCTGTGCTGGACTCCTCCTGGGGTGCAGGCCCCTGCTCTGCCTGCCAGATGACAGGAGGCTGCTGCTGCCAGCTGGGACTGGCACTGGGCACAGCTCGTGCCAAATGCCAGGAAGATTAGTGCTGCCGCTGGGCCCCAGGTGGCAGAACCAGCCTCCTGTCATCTGGCAGGCAGATCGGGGGCCCGCACCCCCGGGAGGAGTCCAGCACAACCCCTGCAGCCCTCCAGGAGGTGCAGGCCCCCAGATCTGTGCGCCAGATGACAGCATGCTGTCGCTGCTAGCTGGGGCTGGTGGCAGCACCAATCTTTCCACTGCTGGGTGCAGGCTACACCCAGCACCAGTCCCAGCTGGCAGCAGCAGCCTCCTGTCATCCTGCAGACCGATTGGGGGCCCACCCGCACCCCCAGGAGGGCTACAGGGACTGTGCCAGACTCCTCCCGGGGGTGCAGGCCCCCGATCTGCCTGCCAGATGACAGGAAGCTGCTGCTGCCAGCTGGGACCAGCACTGAAGCCAAGTAAGCCCAGCTTCGAAAGTTGAAATGTTTCAAAACTTTTGAAACGTTTTGAGTGCCCTTGTTTCATTTCAAAGCTGTTTTGAAGGCTTTTGTTTCATTTTGATATCACTGTTTCAAGCTTGAAACTCATCAGAACATCTTCAAAATGAAACACCCAGCGAAATTTCGCACAGAGCTACCTGCCATACAATTTGTCCAGCTTAAATATGCTGTATATGACTGGGAAAGTGAGACAGCAATCATTTTCCATTTTTGCTTCCTGGTAACATTTTAAAATATAATAATAAAAACATCCCGTCGTCTTAAAAAAAGTCTTTTTTTTTTTTTTTTTACCATCTTCCTTTACCCCAGTCTTCTACAGTTTTACTAGAAGTCTTATTGGGAGAGATATACTGTAAGTACTCTTGCCTTATTTTAAGGTGAAAGGAACTGAATCTTAACAAGCATCCTCTCTTTAAAGGATTAATTAAGCACTGGAGTTCAGGTACTAGCAGAAAGTCATTTTAAGTAGTTCAACCAAAAAAAAAAAAAATCAGTTTACGTGTCAGTGTCTTGTGACATCATCATTTTATTATTTCTACAGTGGATTAAAAAAAGAAACTTAGTGGTCCACAAATACATTTAAAAAGTATAGTTTTAGATCTTAATTGCTTTGCTTGTTCAGTTAGAATATAGCATGCATAGATTCAATACATTAGGGAAAAAAATTGAAGAGGTATGGCCTAATAAAGAAATCCTGGTATGTTTTTCTGTACTGATGAGAAAGACAAGAAACACGTTTTTCAAATCTTGAAATTTTATATGCAGCGTTTGTGTAAACTATGATTCTCAACCAGGATGTCAGGGTGTCAAAAACATACAAACCTGTTCTAGTCTGAGCTCTTTGCAATAGAGAATTGTTTGATTCTTTTTCTGTTGTTCAGAAAGGAGTGAAAACTAAGAGGTCTCATTTTCTGAAGGGTGCTTTGAGTCAGGAAAACCTGAAAGCCACCGATTTAGACATTTAGCTACTTGATTTGTTGGAGGACTCAATTAAATATGAAAGTAGGATATCATAGCTGATAATAAACATCAGAACAACTGCAGATGTTCCCTTTAGCATTTCTAAATGGCAATAATTGTGGAGGCCAAGGAGGTTAATGAATACAGGATATATAGATTTCTCTAGACATATTTGGTTCAATGCTCTCCCTCTAAAGCATGCACTCCTGCCACTGCTGGAGACAGGATACTGAGCTAAAGGGACCATGGTCTTGCCCTGTATGATACTTCTTGGCTAGGGACAGACATTCAAAAAGCCTGAGCCTGAATTGACTCGGTCCTTGCAGATTCGTTTAACTTGGCTAGGCTAAACTGGTTTGTAACCACACAGACATCCCCTGTGGACTGAAAAAATGCAAGCACATGCCTGCAGCCTCTTGGGCTTGAAGCCAGGGGGCACTAGAGCAGCCCTCCTTTCCCTTCCCCAATGCTGAGCTGAGGAGGGCGTGGCCAGGCCCAGGCAGGATGCTCTGATATGGGAGCCCCACCCCCACACCACTTGATAACAGAACATTTATTAGCTCTGTCATCAGCATTTAGCACCCCATGAGAAAACAAAGCCTTGCTCATTAGTTGAAGCTCTTCTTAAACAGCTTTTTCCAAAGGAAGGAATGTAGGGCCGTTACCAGCTGACCTGTTGATTAGCTCCAAAAAGCCCTAAGCGGACACACACAAGACACCTCTCAGCGTTAAGTAGCATACCACATGCTGGCTACGGTCCATGCTGTGGGAGAGAGGAGGAAGGGATCTCTGCTTAAGCAGCCAATGGCAGGGGAAGCCATGGCATGGGGAAGCCAGGCAAACCCTGCTGTATCTGCAGTCTCTGCCAGAGCTGCACTCAGGGAACACAGGGGAGGGGCCAGCCCTGCTGTGGAGCAGAGAGCCCTGCCCAGCCCAGCCCAGAGAGCATGCCACGATGCTGGGGGATTCTGACTTAACTTAAACTAGCAAGGTGTCTGGGACAGACACTACATAAAAGTTTGATCCAAATCAGTTATGTCTGATACTACATTCAGCCAGGTTTGTCTCAAACTGGTTTCAGCCATTTTCTAACTGGTTTATGTGCACTGAAGGTCTGTTCAATTACAGGTTTAAACCAGTTTCTGATCACTTAAACTGATTTATGTATAATGTCTGTCCCTAGCCCTTTTGTTTTTAAAGCCTCACAATTATGGATACAGTTTCAAGTTGCCATTAAAAAAATGCTGAAGACACTCTTTACATAAAAATGTTGTGAAAGAATGACCCTACTGCACAAACCTTGAAAAGTTCAAAAACCATGTGATAGAGATGGGATGGTACATATACTACTTGTATGGGCTGTCCTGGGGATTTTACTGGAAAGAAGAAAAAAAACCAGACAGTATATTACATGTCCACTGTTAGTCTTAGCAATAGCTACATAGTTCAAAAGGTTATTTGAAAGTCTCTATTTTGTGTTCACTGTTAAAATATATTACAAAAATAGAGAAAGAAGCTGAATAGAAATGTTTCACTATACTGTTTGTCAAAAACTTTTCAGAATCTTGAAAGAATATATATTTGGAACATTTTATTTGTAGAAATACATTTCTAAAACCATTTAATATAATTCTATTACAGTACATGTTTGAACAGTCTGATCTTTTAATACTTTGGCAAATCTCTAAAAGAATTATCACAGAAATGTCTGAAATGTTCAAATTATAGCTAATTCTGCTCAAGCTAACTTGCACATCTTTTTTATGCTCACTTGTTAAAAGAAGAAAGTAGGAGGAGTATTTCAATGGAAACTAGTCCTTAAGCTACGGTCAGACTCTTCCTCCTTTTTGATCACTAGACCAGAGCCAGTGACTGAAAATTGTCTCAGGACCAGTACATTTTATTTCTGTTCATGCTTATTATATTTTGCATACATTCTTTGCAGTCAATACTTCTGAAGCACTACTATGGTGATATGTCATTTGATATTTCAAAAATATTGGATCGAAGAAAGAGACGCCAGACCTGTGCTGTTCCATCACTCGTATTAACAGTGGTGTTTTAATACCAAGGTTCAAAGATCAAATTTAGAGACTTTATCAGCTATAGGTTACAACCATATAGTTGACATATACACTGTTTATAGATTTTCTTTAAATATGGTTTTATTAAAAATTAACTAACACTTTACGATAGCAACTAATTACACTGCAGCTGCATAATAATTACACTATGGCCATGCTTTTAAATTTAAGGCTTGTTATTAACACTAATTCATAAGACAAGCTACCTGCATTAAGGAGTAATTGCAAAGTCATGGTACCAAGTGTATATAATGTACCTAAATTTCTAGATATGTGATCCAAGTATAACAGAAGAAATCCGGTCATGTAATTAACATAATTGCTATTATGAATAAGTGATAAATAGTTATTTAAAAACATAACTAAATTGTAATTGTTGTATGTAGGACAGGAAAACTGCACATTTCTACTAGTATTTATATCTATCAGGCTCAACATTCTTAAGGGAGACCTCTTGTACCTTGATATGGAATGGCAGACTTGCTAGAGCAGGAAAAACAAAATTGGTAAGCAGCACAATAAAGGCCTCACTTAAACCCAAACTTAACTAGGCTTCCTTTTCTGTGACCTCCGTTTTGTAGGTATAAATGACTGTAGGTGCACTCCTGCACCTCAAACTATTTGTAGAGGCAATTTAGATTACTTCATATTTTTGTAAGCCTACCTGAACTGAGCTTTAGCTCTTAAAGAATAGTGCAGCTTGGTTTAATACCCTGGGTGTATTTTTAAATTAACTTGATTAACTATATTTTACATTTCTATGTTTATATACGCATCCTTGTTGCCAGATTTTCAAAAACCACAATTGGAAGTGTGCCAATAACTGTCCACAAGACCGAAGTCAGTGATAGCCAACCTTTTTGGCAGATGTGCTAGAAATCACCCTGCACCCTCCCCACATGCCACTATCCTAGAATCATAGAAGTAGGGTCAGAAGGGACCTTGTAGATCTTCAAGTCCGACCCCCCCGCCTGGGTGGGAGAAAAAAACTGGACTCAAATGAGTCCAGCCAGGTAGGCATCAAGCCTCTTCTTAAAGATCCCCAGGGTAGGAGCCAGCACCACTTCCCTAGGAACTTGGTTCCAGCTCCTAGCCGCCCTAACTGTGAAGTAGTTCTTGCGGATGTCTAATCTAAACCTACTCTCCAATAATTTGTGTCCATTGTTCCTTGTCATGCCAGGGGGTGCTAGGGGAAACAGTGTCTCCCCCAAACCCTTCTGGTCCCCCCTAGTGAGTTTATAGACAGTCACCAGGTCCCCCCTCAGCCTTCTCTTGTGAAGGCTGAACAGGTTTAGGTCC